GGGTGGGGGGGGGGGGGGGTCCCACTAGAAATTAGGTAAAGTGTGGAAAAACGGGGTCGTGCCTATTTCTCATGGAGAAATGCGCCAGGGGACAATCAAGGCTGACATTGATGAACGACGTCGCTTAATGGAAGCGAAATAACGACTGCCAACGTTGCAAAGCTTAACTTATATAAAAGTTGTATTACGCGTGACCCAACTGCGACCTTCGTTTCTGCAGCCTCACTTATGAGAAACTGCCTGTACCTTCGATCGCTGTCGTCGAGTCGACTTGGCCCAGTACGGGATACTCGCATTATGTTATTCGCGATAAAGCCGTAATCGTTCGCTCACATGCGAATAAGCACGCGATTTGAAATTGCCGTTTCTTAGAAAAGATGTTATCCCTCGCCGACCTACGGGCTCGTATCCGAGCGCGATTTCGAGGTCTGTCGCAATTTTCTTAAACGAATGGTCGATGCTTATCGAGTAATTTGAAATGGTATGAAAGGAGAAATTGAGCGATTTTACGTAATGGGGGTGTGAGGGAGACATAATACATACGTAAAACGTAATACATACGTGAGGCGTAATACGTGCGTTGTGACGGGAATCGATGGGGAGATTGGAATTATGTTCATATTGTGGGAGAAATGAACAGGTAGATAGTGGCGAGTTCATGGGAACATTATCGTTATCATACACTGGGGTAATAACAGCTCATATGGCATACCGTAGTACGTACGGGTTACCTTAATGATTTATAGGAATTTATCACGCAGTTAGACTTAACACGTATATCGTAGTGTAATTACGAAATTTATTCGTCCAAGGGCGCCCGTGGTCCAGTGGGCAGCGTCCCAGACTCGAACTGCAAAGGTCGCAGGTTCGCGTCTCGTCCACTGATCGTCACCTATGGATTTTTCTTTCTACGAAATATCTAAGTGAATTAAATTTGCGGATCCTTCGCCCCAACACCGTTCGGATTCGGTGTCTAAATCTCTGTAGGTCCAAAACAGCCCCAGGAATTCTCTCTCTGCATTCCGCACGGAGGCAGTCCTAACAATTTCTAATCCGAATGCCCTAAGTTACTGGTGAATATGCCGCCGTAATTCCCCTTGATCAACAAGTGTCGTTGTGTTTCGAGGAGAGCGAAAAGGAAAGATAGAAAAAGGGGAAACTGGTATATATCTGTTTCCGTGGGTAAATGCATGAGACTGGAGCAATATTTATAATTTTCTTCGAAAAATGATATCTGGACGATTATAATTTAAAATTATCGAAACTGTTGGAGGGGATGGGTAATTGAGAGGAAAAACTATATACCGGGTGACTATTTAAAAAATTGTTACATGTCCATTTATAGAATCCCGTATCGACTTTGTGCCGTGTACGTGTATACGCTACTAACTCAATAGGGTAAATAGGGTCGGTGTTATAATGCGAATAATAGAAATGGCCGCTCGAACCGGTCGTCCTCATGAACCGTTCGTAAATCCAGAGTCGCAAGATCTCACGCATTAGGACGAGAGTCCATACATCACTCGCTAGACAATAACTAACTTATTAGGTAAGAGAGAAGGGGACGACGTAATCTATAGAACGTCCTGGCAGGTTAACCCTTGGGAAATATTTATCGCCTTTGAATGATTCTCGCACGCAC